GGGGGGGGGGTCATCTCCTAATAAATGTTTTTACAGAAAATCTGCTCATTTTAAATCAATACTTTTACTTTTAATACTTAAGTACAAAAATATCAGATATTTTAAAACTTTTACTCAAGTAATATTTCTAAAGGTGACTTTAACTTTTACCAAAGTAATTTTTGGTAAGATACTTGTAGTTTTACTGAAAAGTCACTTGGATGTACATTCACAGTGAATTAACTTTTGGTGGTGATCCAATTAAAAATAGCTATGACAGCCCATTGATCCAACAGAATCGGCTGTAAATCATTAGTTTACAGATATAAGATATAAAATTTATGTGGAAGTAGCCGAGACTAATTCACAACCCAAACTCAGCCCTCATCCTGTGACATTGTAAGAATTGGGAATATAGTTGTTTTCAYGGTTTGACCAAAATGGCCACTTTTCAATACACAAAGGAAAGCTGGGTCTTTAAATCTTCAAGGTTTGATTACATGCTTACATCTCTGGACAAACACAAAAACAAGTCAGCTTCAAGCCAGACTTGCGGCAGATGGAAGTGTAGTTTTAGAAATCACTTCAGACGTAACAAATCTGTTTGTCACAAGGCTGATCGTGTGAACAATGATTTCTGCTTCCAGCAAATAAGAAAAACAGACTCACTGACATGAAAGAACAATCACTGCAAATTCAATTCATTTTTACATTGTTTCTCTAAAGGTTGATGTTTGGTTTCTCATCACCTTGCTTTGTTTCATTCGTGTTACATCACCTGAACAGACACCTTGTGTGTTTTGCACCAATTAATGGAAACACAGCTGATGTATATTTTTATTAAATACAGTTTGACTGAGATTCACTTACAGTTCAACCCAGCAGCTGTGTGTAACTGTAGCGCCACAGCAGCCTCGCATGTATGTGCATTTGCATGTTCCTGTCTGTGATCTGGGAGCCTCTGGCCGGCCAGACTGCTGTATTATTTTTGGGAGGGCTGCTCCTTCCCTCTGGAGGGCCTCACTGAAGAGCTTGCTCTCCACTCCCCCCACCACCACCACCACACACACACACACTCTCTCTCTCTTAGGCTCTGGGAGCCTGGCCAAGCTTGGCCGAGCGGGCTGCGGCAGCAGTGGAGTCTTGGCCCGTGCTCGGCCCTGCTCCCACAACACCGCACTGCACACAGATGGCTAGACCGCTCACTGGCAGCCGTGCGTTACGTTTTCACTGGTGTTCAGCAAGTGGCTCAAGAGGATCCGTCCCCCTCAGACACTCTGATGCAGCCATCCAGCACTGCATCCAAGTCTGCACAAACACTGGATGTTTTCACCTCGTCGTAACAGCACACTGACAGAGTAAATCCATGGACGCGTTGCTTTGAGTTGCACTCAGACCTGTGGGAAACTCCAGCAGATGTGAGCAGGGTGGAGGGTTCAGGAAGGGGTAGCTGTCCACTTTTAGCCGAGACCGTTTTAATCGGACGGTCTGTGCTCGTGGGCGTGCGAGGGCACGCTGAACTCAACGATGATGACCTAAAATTGGCCCTAATGGAGCAGGCTCATTAGTGGCTGGCTGTGTTCAAAGTTTCTCCATCCCCTTCAGTTTACTGTAATCGTCCAAATGGGAGGCGGAACGAGCAAAAGGAGGAGAGCAAAAAGACAAACAGAATGCATGGGAGCTCAGATAGAGGGCGAGTGGGAAAGAAAAAGAGAGAGAGAGAAAAAAAAAGAAAAAGCAAACAAAAGAGAAAGAAAAAGAGGGCGAGCAGAGGGAGAAACAGTCAACGCCTGCTTCCTGGCAGCCTCAGCTGCGAGCACATCTGTGTGCGAAGGGGTTCGAGCAGACCCCCATGTGTTTGCTCAGGTCGCCTGATTGCCTTTCCTTCCTCTTCTCTCTCCCACTAAAGACCCGCTGTCCTTCCTCTCACTCCAGTCACCACGGCCAAAAGAGAGAGGGCCACTCCGACAGGCGCTGGGAGGGAGAGAAACACTCATGACTCAGGAGTTTTCACATAAAGAATGTGGCTGTTCCTGACTTGGGGAGAAAAATAAACACATTGCATAGATRATTTAGCTTTTAAAAATAGATGGGGGGTGTGAAATAGGGTTTGTGCTTGTGTATGCGTAAGAGCATGGGTGTATGTGCATATGCATGACTGTGTGTGACTGCCGCAGCCCTTCGCTGGAGCCTGCTGTCTGGGCACAATGGTCCAGCCTGAGGCCGTCGCTCCACAAAGAGGCCTTCTCTTAACAACGAGCCAGCACAGATAGAGGAGGAGCCTGACCAACGCATTACCATGCTTTAGGGATCACAGAGCTTCCCTCCATGCATCTGATATCACTTATGATTTTAATGACCAAGTCCTCTTTGTGAAACACGGACCTTAAAGTAACATCAGCGCAGGTCTGCACAACCAACATCCAACAATCAACAAACTCGTAAACTTTGCTCTGATTTATAAAAAAAAAAGCCACACCCGTAAGAACGATCAAGGCAGGCCTTATTTCAGTATTAAACTTTTATTTTATTTTCTTTTTGTGAGATGGAAAATAAAATGATAAAAACGTACAGCTCAGGGACTTTTTCGGTTCTCAAAAATCCAAGACAGGTCAGTGTTTTCTTTACATAACAACCATGAAACTGAACTCAGATGTCTCTGTGTGTCTGACGAAAGCTTGAAAGAGTGGAAATAAATTATTGCAGCAATAATTATAACATCAAATATAACAACAATAATAGCAATTAAGCATTTATAAACACTCTATTTACCGTGTTGTTTTATTTTAATTTTTTTTTCTCCAATAAAACCGTTATCAAAAACAGGTGAGCAGTGTGGTGGTGTACAATCCAGCATGTGGGGGAGAGCGCTGGTTTTAACAGAGTTTCTGACGCTCGGCCCGTCTGACAGCTTCCAGCACTGATGAGTCTGTGTCTGTGTCTGTCCACAGCAGTTCTGGACAGGCCTGGGGGGTGGACAGACCCGGGGGGTGGACAGGCTGCATGTCATGATCATGAGGTGAAAACAGCGTTTCTTTTTCGGACCTCTGTCCTGTTATGAAGTCAGGGAGAGGTGGGTACCAAAGTGACTTAGTAAAAAAATAAGCAAAAAATAATAATAATAATAATGACAAATGTCTGTTCACTCCTCTCCTGTCAGCCCCAGACTCCAGGGGACTAACAGACCCCCACCCCCCATCACAGAGTCCAGTCCTGCTGCCAGCACCGTCCCACCAGCGGGGGTCAGGGATGACGTTGAAAGCAGCTCCCCTCCTTCCACTGTACACAGGTCTGCTCAGCGTTTTGGCGTGATGTGGAGGCCGTTTAGTGTTTATGGAGATGCGGTGGCTCCTACTGGCGAACGGGCTCTCTGTGTCTAGAACCAAAGCCCCTCAGTGGGGCTCGGCCCAGACCGGCGACCTATTGGAGTGGTGCGGGTGACCGAACGAGGGGTGAATGGGCGTGGGAGTGGGCAGCATGTGTCCCGAGTGGCTGAAAGCGGGGAGGTGACCCATGTGGGTCATGTGGCCGGCGAGGCCCGGCGCGGCGCCAAAGGGCGAGGCCTTGTCCTGCATGCACTTGGACAGCTCGTCAAAGCCGTCCCCGACCCGCTTGTTCCTCTTGGACTTGCTGGACATTTTGCGGTTGCGGGTCTGGATGCCTTCCTTCTTCATGGTCAGGGGTCTGTTGACCTGCGGGGAGCAGCACATGAGCTTCAGACAAAAGTGGCACTGACAGCCTGAACACCACATCATGGGAGGGGAAACTTTTCATGACAGTAGTGTAAAACAAACGCCATAAATAATGAGCAGCTGTTTTGCATATTTTGTGGCTGCATTTTGAAGCCAGTCAGGGGGCGTTTTTTATTTTTTTCTTTTGCCCCCTCAGCTTTTGTCTAATTGTCTAAACCAAACAGAACCGTTCTGGTCGATATGAATTCATGGGGCTGAGGAGGACAGGCTGGGTGTGAAAGGAGCTGCCTCAGACAAATCCTCATCAGTGTAACCGACGCCGTTACAACTGAATGACAGTCCCACCCGGCGGCCTCTCCGGGGAGTAACGCCCCCCATTCAAACAACGATGCGTTAATAAAAAGAGAACCGGTGGGTTCTGCTCCACAGGGGGAACAGGCTCCTGAATCGATCTGTCCACCCACTTAACCAGTTAGCTCTCTCTGTGGCCACTTTCACTCTCATAGCCTGAAAATCTTTGTGTGTGCGTGCGTGTGTGTGTGTGTGTGTGTGTGTGTGTGTGTGTGTGTGTGTGTGTGTGTGTGTGTGTGTGTGTGTGTGTGTGTCACATAATTTAGGAAGAAAGTCAAGAGGGAATGTTTTGCTCTGTGTAGCTGTTGGTTTAGTGAGGCCTGCTGAGTAAAAACTATATGCAGCCCTCACTGGAGAGAAACTGCATATGGGATAGGAAAGAACCAATAAAATGATGAAATCAAGCATTCACTTCAAGTTCAAGTCTTTGTGTCATGTTTCTATATAWCTCACACTTCTGTAAAGTAACGGCAGTTTATGGTGTTTGACTTCCAGCATGGATTTTAATAAAACTTTCAAGAAACCTTTTTTGGATTTCTCTCTACAACTCATTCACTTTTGAAGTTAATTTAAATCAAGATGACTGCCACAGCTACCAACTTTAAAAAACACAGAATAGTTGTTTTTCTATCAACTTTACAATTTGAGATTTGGTGTGGCAATTATTTAGACACGTGTTATATCCATCCATCCATCCATTTTCTGTACACGCTTCTTCCTTTTCAGGGTCGCGTGGACACGTGTTATATGTGCTAATTAATTTAGTAAAAGCTTTGTTTACCATTTTGTCATTAATTATTTGGACTCAAATCGGTCTGTCTATTAGCAAAGTATCTCATAAATCATAGGATAGATTTAACAGAAGCTTCAGGAGATAATCATTAGAATTCTCTCATTAACTTTTGGACTCAACTCAATGCAAGATGGCCGCCACAGCCAGCTAATTTAGAAAAACAAGGCTAGCATTCAGTCAGTTTTACTGAAATTGTCTTAAATTTTGGTTTGAGCGTAGCTGAGAAGCAATCCACAACACATATTCCTCATGCTTTTTAATGCATTATATTTATTTAAAACCTTAGCATTTAGTGTTGGAGACCACCCTGTTTTTCTGTTAGCAAAATATCTCATAAAATTCAGGACAAAGATTAATGGGTTTTTCGGAAAGTAACAATTGGTAGAGTTGTAATACTTTCTGATTGTACTTAAGCAGATTTTTGGAGTATCTGTACTTTACTTGAATAGTTATTTTTAGCCTACTTTTTACTTCTACTTCTTACATTTTCACACAATAATCTGTAC